CTGGGTTATGTGAGACATTATCTCATGAATAGCAAAGAAAAGAATAAAAGGGATTCCAAACCAGAAATTAGGATGAAACTAGTTTCTTTTGTAGTATCACAGAATCAGAAGACTTTTCCGGGACAAAGTTTCGAAGCTTTAGGTCTGACACTGTGACTACCATGGTGTGGCCATTTTGTTCATCATTTTGTCTCCTTTCAGATTGTTAGGCACAATGCTGCCAACACCATGGCCATTGTAGTCCTGTCTTCTAAGAAAGAAAAAAGGTCATGGGGTACTTTAAAACTTAAATATAAAAAGAGGTTGCTTTGGCCAAATGCATTTACATTTGTTGGTATGACAGTAAGGTCCTTTGTACTGGAATAAGATTATTATGTAATAGTTATTGGGACATTTAACACTGTAATAATAGAGCTTCATGTGTCTTGGATGTTCCTGAAGCATTTCAAGAATCTAAAGCATTATACTAGGATATATTTCCATGAAATTGGTGGTGAATTCCAAAGACAATCAAGGCAGTTGGAGTTGTCCCTCAGGCCAAGACACTTGTTGGAGGCCATGAGAGTTAACAACAGTTGGAAACTAATGTTCAAATGCCACCCTGCCAAAGGAACAATTTCTGAGTGGAAGGCAATTCTGTTCAGGCAAGGTCTGTAGAACCATTGACACTGGAAACTGTTGTTCACATTTGCTAGGCATCTTGGGGTATCCCCAACACCTGCATTGTAGTGCATAATCTCATTTGATGTTTTCATATAATCTCATGATTGCTTCTTAATCTTATGGGCACATATATCTGTGGATGATCAGGAAGATGACTTTTCATTTATCTGCATAATTTTGATATATAAAAAACTATACTAGGACTAGGTTATTCAATTCTGAATAACCTAATTAAAAATGGGGTACTGAACTGAACAGAGAATTTTCAACAGAAGTTCAAATGGCCAAAAGATATTTAAGGTCATGTTCAACTTCCTTAGCCATCAGGGAAATGCAAATAATAGGCTTTTTTAAAAAAACATTTGTGTGTGTGTGTGTGTATGCATTCCTAAATACATAAATACAACCATTTTAGTCTATATGTTACATTAATGTTTATGTTATCCAGGCTGTCCATTTGGTATCAGATATCCAATTGGGGAAGACTATATCTCTAGTCCTCAGCAATCCTTAGTTGATTGCAGTTCATTGTCTAATGTTGAGACGTCTTGAGTTTTTCTGCTTCAATGTTAGCTTGTCTATTCAACATTGCTCAGGTCATATAAAGTCAATAATGTTGGTGAGATTTTATGGGTGTACCTTCTGACATTGCTAGCAGACATAATCTCATGGTAAACTCCTTGATACCCTGACTCTTACAATCTTTCTGCCCACTATTCAGCAATGTTCCCTGAGTCTTACATGATAGAGTAATGCTGTAGATGTATCCTTTAGAAATACTCCCCTAAGATTTGGAATTTTATTTTTTTGAAATTAATTTAATTATCTCTGTTACAAAGATAAGTTTCCTTGATGAGGTGTGAGGACTACACTTAACCATGGACATAAAAACAAATATTAAAAGTGAAGTTATTAGAGATTATGCTAGCATTGTAAAGTGATGATTGTACGTTATCCTCCAAGATAAATGAGTTCTCTAGCACTGGGTTTTTATCTAGGTTTCCAGTACTGGACATGTTTTCCCTATGGTTGAGCAGGTCTCAAGTCCAGTTAGGGAGGTGTTGGCTACCACCAAGGTATTTGTCATTACTACACTGTTTAGGTTTTTATGCTATGCTTGTTAACGTGATTCATAGATGAAATAGCTGGACAGAACAACTGGCTGCTTTCCTCCTTTGAAAATTTGTTTAGTTCCTTTAGGTACCATAAAGGCCAGGTTTCAGGGAGGAGGTTTTCAGGAAAGCTCCAGCTCAGGTCCTCAGGCTCTGAAGTGTTTGTAATCTTCAAGAATGGAGGAGAAGGACGGGCAACCAAAAGAAATGGCAACATAAAAGCCTCACCTTGTAAAGGGTTCCACAATCTTCCAACAAAATGTCACCACTGTCAAGGGAACAAGTGCACCCTGACAGAGTCTGAGGAGACACATTTCATATTCCAACCATAGCAAGAGCCTAATCAGTGAAGGCTCAAAAATCAATGCCTCAAACTTACAAAATTATTCTGCAAATACTTGTAATCCCAATGATATCCAAGCACAAAGAGGAGAATGGAAAGTGTATCTTGAAGTGTTAAACTACTAACTACTGCTTCTCTGAAATTAGTAGGATATTCTGACCTTTCAGGTGGCTAGCTTTATGTTACAAGATAAGAAAAAAAACTATCTGTGTAATGACTGCAGAAGTATGTTGTCCTTCCAGCTAAAACATATTTGGGACTAAAAAACTGCAAAACTCTCTGTAAGCTACTGAATTAGGGTCTCTAGCTGTGGTTGTGACATTTTTCAACATGCATTAAAGGGACCATGACCCATGAAAAGTAAAATCTATATGCAACTTTGTCAAAAGCTATGATTGAAGGCCCACAGCTTCTACTGATATTTAATAAACACTGATACATGGTGGTTTTTCCAGCTCTCCAATACCTGTACTCATTATCAGTGAAAAGAATCCTACATGTTTGTTCCTTTGTTTTGTTTTAGGTATTATTCTTTAATCTGTTTTTCCATTTCAAAAATATCTTTTCCTGAGATTTCTTGTTTGTCTTATAATCAGCAACCATAGTTGTCAAAACTGAAAGTACTACCCACCGGTAAGTGGATGAGAGTGGGTTTATATTCACCAAGAAAATTTTCAATAGAACACATGGGCAGATTCTTGGCAGTAGTGGCATACAAACCATATGGGATTTAAAACTCTTTTGAAACTGTGGAAAGTTCTGCACTGTAATAAGTCAGATCTCACATAGTTAAAATAATAAAGAAATCAGCATCCAGTAAATGGATGGTGAAACTTACATTCGACAAAACACATGACTCAGGGGAGATGGTTTCATTGATGAAAAACCAAACCAAACCAAAGCAAGCAAAGAAAAACTTGCTTTGTAATTAAAAGGATTTGAATTCAAACACTAGTACACACACACACACACACACACACACACACACACACACTGTCTGTGGTCGCACCAGGGAGGTGGGGATGCAGATGCCTGAGCCTCAGCCTAACTCAATCAGTTTTCTCAGAACAGGAAAAGTCCACATTTCAAAAATTAGATGGGAAAACATTGAGGAAGACACCTGAGGCCTGTTTTTAACCTTCACAGACAGATGTGGAACATACATCTGCATACAATTACATTCATATTTGAACATATGCCCACACATTTGAAGGAATATAGTGCAAATTTTGATCTCTTTAGTCTAAGCTGGGAGCTATGGACTTTACTAGTGGCTCTCCTGATTCTAGTATTACAAAGAGCGCAATAAGAAACGTGGCAGCTCACACTGGTTCTCCAGACTCAGTCAGAGGATAATCTAGATAATAAGAGTCTCAGGGGAGAGCGTAGAGTGGCTCGTGGAAACTGCTACCAGCTGGCTTGAGCATTGTGAATGGTGTCAAGGTCAGAGCTAGATTGTTGGAGACATGTTCATTTCTATGTTTCTGTGAAGAGATCTAAAGATCACCATTGTTACCTGAATTATGTTAGGTACACAGTTAGATGTTGCTTCAAAGCTGGCCACTTTGCAACAAGTTATTTTATTCATCCGCATCTTGTCTTAAACTAGGGGTCTTAATACACTTTCAGTTTCATTCACTGAAATTCCTTTACTATGGGACCATTCTTTATCCCAGATAATTTTATTTGACCTGATACTTGGTCTGTGATAAAGCCACCATTACTGCTTCATTTTAATTAGTGAACAATGGCACATTTTACTTCTTCATTTCTTTACTCATAGAGACACACATAAAGAGACACATACAGACACACACATATAACTTTTCTATTTGAAAAAAGGTCTGTATGTATGTATATAGCCTGACAGGCTCAGGCCCCTATTCCTGCCTTAGCCTCTCCAGTGCTAGGATAGCAAGCCTCTGATATGGTGCCTCACCTGCTGTTATATCCAACATGGCTTTGCTGAGACTATATAGGCAGTGTGTAATGATTAGCTCTCCATTTTTAATGAGCTTTTCCCTGTACTGTTGTAATGGTAATTTAGCTATAAATTAAACAGGGTCTAAAATCACCTATAAGTCAAACCTCTAGGCATGCCTCTGTCCATTATGCCTCACTTCGGTTTAACAAGGATGATTTCCCTGAATAATGGACTAGAAGCTGTAAGGTGAAATAAACGCTTTTCTCCACAAGTTATTGTTGGTCATGGTGTCTTATCACAGCCATAGAATCCTTAAGTAAAAACAAAGGACCAAGAAATGATACTGCATATTTTGATGTAATTCTTTGTATTCATATTTGAGTTAGACATTTACCATGGTTTTGAGTTCCTAGTCTAGGGGTTTTGAGGTACTTCACTACTTTACTTATAAGTTGCACTATCTCCAGCCTTAAGATAGTTTTCAGTTCTAGTTTTCACATCTTATGGTGTGGTTTGAATTTTAAATGTCCCCCATAGACTTATGTGTTTGTACACTTAGTCCTAGCTCTTACTGTTCTAAAAGGTTTTGACATTTTCTGTAGATAGAGCGTGTATGGAGAAGGTATGTTATTAGGGGGTAGATTTAGGGTTTTGTAGTCTATACTCTAATTCCAGACAGTAGATTCAATGTGACCCGCTTCCTCATGCCCATACCCTCTCACTGTAAGGGTATATTCTTTCCCATGCAGTAGGCAAGACAAACCTTTTCTTGTTTATTTGATTTCCGTCATGGATAGGATCCTATACAGTATAACTTAGTAAAAGGTTTTCATTTTATTTTTTGAGTCCCCAAATAAATAAAGGAGCAAATTTTCTTCCAACACTGTAAGTTTATTTTTTTTAAAAAAAAAGCAATACTTGCATTTTAAGTAAAATTAAAACTCTGTTGTTCTGACAGATACAGGTAGGAGAGCCAGAGGTTGGCCCTGATTTGGTGTCTCTTACATTGACTGGTCCTGATGACCAACAGTCGAATCAGATGAAACAGTCAACTGGAAGACAAAACTTTGGGAAGTAGAAAGTGTGTCCGTCCCAAGGAAGGAACAAGTGATGGGGATCCCTCTGCGTACGGATGTACAAAGGCAAAGGTTGGGAACGGAATCCAGCCAGATAAGGCTCAGACAAAGGGAAGAAGACAACACCAAGGGTTTGCAGGACTGCTCCCCAGATGAACACAGAGATTTGGTGTGAGAGGGAGCCTTGTCCAGGGAGAGCATGCCATAAACATAGACACCACCTGCTGCCTTACCCACATCCTCAGGCTTCCACATTTCAGGCTTGACTTTGTTCCTTCAGCTCTAGCATTCATCACTCTGGAAACTTCAATAACCAACACACATTGAAGCTCTACACTAAAAAAAGAAAAACAACATTTTAGTCAAAATATAAGTGGAAGAAGCACCGTGAATGTGCAAGATTCAAACCAGGTATTTTCTGAGTCAGTCAGACCAGACAGACTGTACTCCTGGGGCTGGACAGAATTCTGCTTCACTAAACATCAGAACAAATGGCTGGATTTAGCAGGGCACACACTAGCATTTTGTCTCATACTGATTTGTTGCTTTTATTCCTGGCTCTTATTTGCACTAAGAAATTTTAAACAAAGTTCTTCTGAGACATATATTAAAATATGTACAAAACTTACTCTTAGGCTGTTAATAACTCAGATACTCAAAATTGAAAATCAAACAGCCCAGGACTGAGGAACTTGTCCAGTTCGAGTGTCTGCTGCATGAGTGTAAGGACCCAAATTCTGATTTCCAACACCCATATAGCTGAGCATGGCTATATGTGCCTGCTGGGAGAACAAGGGCAGCAAAACCCCAGAGCTTGACTTCCAGTCTTGCTCCGGGTTCAGTGAGACAGCCTGTCTCAAGGGAGTAGATGAGGGATAGAGCAAGACACCTTAAGACTTTCTATATACAAATCACACACAGAGAGAGGGACACCACACACACACACACAGAGACACAAACACACACACAGCCCTTATTTAGAGCACTACTTGGGCCCTCTGCCTTATTTAATTATGTGAATATACATGCGGTTTTAGGGTGTTACTAAGATAATTTCTCAATTTCTGATAAATGTTGAAATTCAAGCTATTATCATAGAAAGAGAAAAGTACAAAGAAAATGAGAAATGTTCCAAGGGAGAAGATGTTTCATGTTTTGTATGTGTGCATGTGTGTTGTGTGTGTGTGTGTATGTCGTGTGTGTGTGTGTGTGTGTGTGTGTGTGTGTGGTATGTGTGTGGTGTACGGCATGTGTGTTTGTGTGTGTGTGTGTGTGTGTGTGTGTGTGTGTGTGTGTATGATTTTACAGCACAAGACATGCGGACTATGCTGATTTCCAGCAGGGGCTTTCAAGGCAGCAGAACTACATCCTCAGCCAGGAATTTTTGTTGAAATTAGGTATAATAGGTGACCATAATAGCTATTACAAAGACAAAGACCCTCAGAAGTTTCCATGGTGACATCACTGAAAGTTACAGCTTAGTAAAACGGAAAGGAAGACCTCTGAAGCTGGCTCAGCCAGGAAAATCTTGCTGCACAAGCATATGGACCAGAGTTTAGACTCTCAGCATCCACTAAAAGCTAGGTGAGTGAGCATAGCAATCCCAGCAAGGTGGAGGAGGACATGAGAAATACCTGAAGTAATATAGCTTGCCAGACTAGCTCTGGGTATATTGAGAGTGCCTGATTCCATATATATAGCGGAAATAAATTAATAAAATTCTGGATTTCAACTTCAGGATCAATATACATGTGAGAACATGAAGACCTGTACACATCCACACTGCACAAGTCCATATACAAAACTGTAAATAAATATACGGGAAAGAAAATGTGTGCAGTATGGGTATGGGTGTGCAATGTGGTCTAATGTATGGAAACTTGAAGGTAACTCACAAAAACTAAAATAACCCAGCAGTCTGAGGAGAGCTGGAAAGTGGATGAATTGAATGTCCCCCCAGTGCAGGCTGGAGTGAGTTGCAGAGTGCTAACAAATGTGAGTTCTGATGATGTTTGCCTCAGCTTCTCGCTTTGTCTATGTTCAGCACAAGGTTGGAAGTATCTACCAGGTATGGGCTGTGGATGCTCATTACCTGTTGCTCAACCATGCTTGAAGCTTCCATACTTTAAGGCCAACTAATTACCATGATCATTGATTTCCCATTTGAAGATTAAAAGCAATGTTTTTGTTACCAAAGCATCCTGGTTCAGAGCCAGGTGGTAGTAGCCATGCAGACAGCTTGGAACTTGGCTCATGATGGTGGTAACTGGCAGTGAGTGGAAATCTTTGGTTCTTCTCTGAGGATTTGATAACATAGTGTTTACTAAGGATTCTGGAGCAGTCATTCTTCTGTGAGAGAATCACCTTCCTCTGGAAATGAAAAGAGCATTGACTTCTTTCCCCCAAAGGTTAGAATGACAAATTAAAGTGTAATTCTACCAATGTTTGTTTTGGGGGAACCAATGACTATTGGGCTTATGTATAGAACATGGGTGAGGGATTATTTGCAAGAACATGGATGACTCCAAAGCAGCTACACTGGAAAGTCTTTTCCAGCCATGGAAGCTGTCTTCTTCATAACCACCTAGATGGAATCCTTCTCATTTATCCTCCCCTAGCACACATCACTGTAGCACCCCTTGAAGTCACTGAAAATTATGGCAGAACAGTGCACAAATATCTTGGAGGTGCTTCTGAAACCTCAGATGAAAGGCCAATGACCCTCTTTCTCTATTTGGGTATGACAGTGGTCTTGGTGTCCTCTTGAAAGCTGATACACTGCTCTGTTGAAGTGGGTGTGGTTTTGCTCAGAGGACTGCTTCTTATACCTTCAACTGTGCCATTTAGAGGAAGCCATTTATTCATCTGATCCCTAGATTTCTCATCCATACAGTATTATTAGTACTTTCTCTGTCTAAATCTTCTCCAGAAAATATTTCTCAAAGAATGTATATATAACAAAGTGTCACTGTACTTAGAAACTATCAGTTGAATTAACTCAAAGTGCTTTTCTAATAACTAACATAGAACATTAGTATCAAGAGGTGGAATCATTTTGGAAGTGATTTTTGGGAGGAATATGGAAGATTTGGGGGAAATAGTGTAGAGAAGCACTATAATTCTGTAAGCAAAATTCACTGGGCCTTTCTGATGGGAGTGAATCAAACCAGAAATCTCAGAGTAATGTGGACAGGAAATCCTGGGCTCATGAGGTGTCAGATGTAGATAAATACTCTATAAGGAATTAGACAATCAGCCCAAAAACTAAATGAAGTCAAGACTCCTCTTGAACTGGTAGAGACAATGAGTGGAAACAAGTCAGTCAGTGTTCTTTTTTTAAGATGCCATAGAGTGAGTTGCTGAGATGTCTTGGCAGATAAAATTGTGTACTATTCTTCCAGAAGACTGGAGTTTAGTTCTCAGCACCAACATCAGGTGACTTACAACCACCTGTAACTCCAGTTCCAGGAAATCAGATGCCTTTTTTTGGCATTCATTGCTGAAAGCACACACATGCTCACAGACATGCACATAAACATTTTGCAGGGAGGTCGCTTGCTGTTTCCCGGCCACCCAGCTAGCTTAGACCCAAAATAATCACACAGAAACTATATTAATTAAAACACTGTTTAATCTATTAGCTCTAGCTTCTTACTGACTAACTCTTACATCTGAATTTAACCCATCAGCATTGATCTGTATGTCACTACGAGATCGTGGCCTACCAGCAAAGTTTCAGCACATCTGTCTCCTGTGGCTCCATGGTGTCCTGCTCTGACTCTGCCCTTCTTCCTCCCATCATTCAGACGATCTTTCCCTGTCTACCTATGTTCTGCCCTATCAAGAGGCCAGGGCAGTTTCTTTATGCATTAATGATAATCACAGTACACAGAGAAGACTTCCACATCATATACACATTTACTCACACACAAAAATAAAAAATATACAAATTTTAAGTTGTAGAGGAAATAAATCACAGAGCTCTAAAAAGTAAACAGATATTCTTTCTCAAATTTAACTTTTAAAAAGTATTTATAACCAGATATCAAGCTTGTTTTAAAGGTAGATTTATATAATAACCAAATATCTGAGTTTTAAAAAAAATCTCGTTTTGTAGTAAGAATGACAGAGTGATATGAATTCATCCTCTGGTGTGTTATTGCCGAGACTCTGTCTCAGAACAAACACATCTCACATGGATGGTGGCAGATGTGAAAGAGCCTCATTCTCTACTACTCATGAAATACTCAGTGTGACTCCTCTGTGGAAAGCAAACCATAACATAAAAACCCTAAAATTATATTTCAATTCGGAACATTACTGAAATATTAATATTGGACTTTTCATCCTGCTGAGCCAAATGAAAATGCTGGTAAGTAAGACAAAACAGCCCATGCTTCCTAGTCGGCAGCATCTTCTTATACACTGTGTATTGGAGGCAATAAGTCACATCTATCTATTTGTCTCATAACTTTTAAGACACTCTGCTTTTTGTTAAGTAATTTAAGCAGGGCTCAATTATAACATGATCATTTCTTGAACTACAGTCTCAATCTGAAAATCTAGAAGAATGCTGTGCCAGCACCTACACTGAGTTTAGAGCAGATTGAAACAATTGGTTACTTACCAGGAGCCAAGGTGGACCATTGATCCCAGAAAAGAAAGGACTTTGCCGTGGGAGTGCAGAAACATGGGAGCATCACTGGAGGAGCTTCTGTGGGATTATGAGCTGGTGGCCATTGTACCTGTCTTAAAATCCTACTGTTTCTTCATCTGATGCCTGTGTTGACAAACAGTTACACTACTGTAAAATGACTCCACAGCAGACACACAAACCACATTCATTTATACAGGTAGTGACGTTAGAAGATTCTCTGCTGCATCATAAACACTTGATAGAAATTTTTAAGTTAATATTGCCTCCTGCTGCTGTCATCATGACAATCAATACTAATACGTAACAAATCTTGTAACTGAAAATTTTATATATTATGCCAGGTTCATTAGTTCCTAAATATGAAATATATACATTTTAATACTGGAGATATATTTGCTGCATATGTGTGTGTGTGTCTGTCTGTCTGTCTGT